CTCGGGCTGCCCTCCCCGCCTCGGGCGCGCCTCTCCCAAGGAGCGGGGTTTCGTCTGCCCTCGCGACGCGGGCGGCTGAGTCTGATGCCATCCTCGCCTCCGCCGTGTCGCGCGGCCGCGTGGAGCTCGACGCACTCCGCACCGCGCGTGCCGACGCCACCAGGCGCACGGTGCAGGCTCCTGCACGCGGCGAAGGCGAGCGTGCCGTCGCTCGTGCCGAGCTCGCGGAAGGGATGGCCGATCGCGCCTACTTCCGACGCTTGCGCGAGGCCGCCAGTCGTGAGGCCGCGGGCTTGCCGCGTGCGGCTCCCGTCCAGCTGGGTCGGGATTGGCGCAAAACTCTGCGCGCCGTCCTGCACAACGCTGAGGTCTCGACGGGCCTCGCCAACGCGGATCGTGCCGCTCGTGCTGGGGACGCCCCCGCGTCGTCCACTGGGCGCTCCCTGGCCGAGGTGGAAGCTGAGGACCCGCGCGCCTTGGCGAGACCTGCCGACGACCCAGCGTCCAGCTTCAGCCGTCGTGAGGGGCGCGCGGTCCGCGCCCGCCTGGGCCCGCGGGACGAAGCTGTCGAGGACCAGCCCAATCGCGGTGGTCACGCGCCGCACTCCGCCTCGCGCACGGGCGCCGCGCGCAACAGGCGCGCCAAGAAGCAGCGGCGAGCTTCGACGGCGGCGCTCCCCGCCCCTGAGGGGGGGGCCGCCACGACGCCGGGCCGCAGGGCGCGTCGCACTGCTAATGCGCGCCGCTGGGCAGGCGCGGCACGCCCCAGCTCCGCCGCGGGAGTGGGCCCTCCACCGCGGAGCCGCAGCCCTGCCCGCAGCCGCACGCGGTCTCCGAACCCGTACGGGACTGATCACACCTCTCCCTCGGGAGGCTGCTCCTCGCCTCCCATCGACGGCTCGATCTCGCCTGAGGAGCCGTCGGGGCCGCCGGCGGGGGAGGCATCGGAGGGCCCGCACACTCCTGACGGGTCTCCGCCCGCGAGCGCCCGCAGCCGCTCGAGAGCGGAGCCCGCGTGCGAGGAGGACTCTCCGACGGAGCTCGAGGACGTCGTGCTGAGTGCCCTCGCTGACTCCTCGGTGGACCTCGAGCGCGTCGTGGCGGGCCTGAACCCCGAGGTCCTCCTCCGCTTGCAGGCGGCCTTCCCTCGCCGCGCGGAGGCCTCTCCGCCCGCCGCTCACGCCGCGGCTCGCAGCCGCTCTCGGGGCCGCGGCACGCGTGCAGGCTCCGAGACGCCGCGGCCCGTCCCCCCGCCGCCGCCACCACCCCGTCACCACTCTGGTGGGCGTGCGGCGTCGCGATCCCGCGGGTCGGCCGCCGGCCAGGGGCTTAGTCGAGCGAACGCGCGCGACTCCTCTCGCGCCTTCGCGTCAGGCGACGTCGCCTGGGCGTCGCGAGGTGCGCTCCCCTCGAGTCGCTCCGCGTCGCCCGAGCCCCGCCACTTCGCAGCAGCCAGCCACGCCCCGCCATGGTGCGAGCTCGGACGTCGCCTCGCAGGCAGCTCCCGCGCGGACTCCGCTGCTCAGGCCCCTCCGACTTCGGTAGGCATGCGCTCTTCCAGCGATGCTGTTGCGGCCCCGCAGGGAGGAGGGCGTGCCGCCGAGGAAGGGGGGTCTTCGAGTGGCTTCGCGCTTGGCCGAGCTTCAGAGCCCGAGCTGCATCTCAGCGGCTCTCACAGCGGTGACGCTGGAAGCGCCGCGGCTGCAGCCTTCGCAGCGCGGCGCACGGCCTCTGCGGCCGCTGAGCAGCCCTTGCCTCCAGGGGCCGCCAGCGCCCTAGCGTGGCGCCTCAACATCGGCGGTGAGAAGATCACTGTGGTGAGGTGGGGACCCGCCTGGCAAGCTGCCTTCCAGAGCGCGGCGTCGTGGCTGAGGTCTTTCGCACCCGCAGGGGCCGCCGAGCCCGAGGGCAAGGATGACTTGCACTGCCTCCTGCGGGCCTTGCACGCCTACAAGCGCCTGTTTCAGACAGGCGGCGCCGAGCCGATCGACGAGGCCTCGTGGTTGCATCCTTACGTGGCCGTCGTCGAGCCCGAGGCTATCCCCGCGCATGCTGACCTCCAAGCCATGGGGGCGGGCGCCATCCGTGGCATCGGGCTCGGCTCAAAGATCGAGCAGCGGCGGCGCGCGGGCAAATTGGCCTGCCTTTTCGACCTTCTGTACCATGTGCAGGACAGTCACGGCGCCATCCCAGCAGCGCTGTGGGGATCCCACTCCCCTCCGTCCGAGATCCTCGACGCCTTCGCGGAGGTGGTGCCCGTTCCACATCATTCGGGCTTCACGTCCTCGGCAGCTCGTTCCGAGCTCGCCGAAGCAGCCGCAGCTGCGCGTGCCGAGCCGCGCCCGCCTTTTGACTGGGCGACCCTCGAGGGAGGGGGCGCTCTGCCAGCCGAGATCGAAGCAGGGGCTCGCCGTGCCTACCGTAACATGGGCGGATCCTTCAGCTCGGCGCGGGCGATGCTGGCGGAGGCGTCGGGGTTCGAGACCGACGGGCGGGACGCCCTCGTTCCGCCCTTCTACGCGTCCAGGCGCAGGAGGGCCGCCACGCTGATCAGCTCTCCAAGCCCTGGCCGCCCTGCGCTCATCCTGTGGTGCGTCTGCGGCCTCTGCATCTCTCTGGGAGCCGCGGCGCCGACCGCAGGCCAAGGGCTTAGTCGGGCTGCGCCTTCCGCGCCCGCTCGCCCTCCGCGCACTCCCTTCGTGCGCGATTCTCACCTCACCTCCGCGTATCTCGACCGTCGCTCGAGATCGATTGATGCCTTCGAGCTGTGGTTAGCAGAACACACTGGCGTGCCACCCGCCACACTTTACCGAAGCGGGATACTTCTCGCCCGTTTCCTCGCGACCTTCGGCGCGTGGCTTCATGATGCAGGTTTCCCTCATTATATTTTGGTCCATGCCATCTTGGGAATCCAAAGCGCCCATCCGCATTGGAAGGCCTTTCTGACAGAAGCTTGGGACGTAGCGAAACAATGGAAGCTTGCGGAGCCGCCAAAGCTCCGTCCCCCCTTGCCACGCGCGCTGCTGCGCGCCATGGTCGGGCTCTGTCTCGCCTGGGACTGGCCGGTGATGGCGGCCCTGCTGCTCATGGGCTTCACGATGTTCCTCAGGCCTGGCGAACTGCTGGCGTCGCGCCGCTGTGACCTGTCGCTTCCATGCGACCGTCTCGAAGTTGAAGGGGATGCTTTTCTTTCGATTCTTGTTCCAAAGACCAGAAGAACGTACCCGACGCAACATGCTCGCTGCTCCGATCGGGGCACGGTGAAGATATTGAATCAAGTGTTTGGGAGGTTGGCTTCCACCGATCCTCTCGCCCCCTTCGGCGCGAGCGGCTTCCGTGCTCGGTGGAATCATCTGCTTTTGGCTCTGGGCGTCCCTCTTGCCAAAGCAGGTCAGGGGCTCAACCTGACGCCCGCTTGTCTGCGGGGCTCTGGCGCAACAGACTTCTATATCGCTACGGAAGACGTCCCCCGCGTCTTCTGGCGAGGGCGCTGGCGTCAAGCTTCCAGTGCCGAGCGCTACCTGCAAGCCGCCGCCGCCTCCACAGTTCTTGCTGCGCTGCCCGAGCACGCGCGGGCTCGTATCTTGTTCTTCGCCACCGCCAGCGACCGCCTTGTCGCTTCGTTCCTCCAAGTCGGCCCCGCCGCTTGGCCTGCCCTGCTTGCGGCCGCCCGCCAAAACCTTGTCACTTCGCAAGGTCCTTGAGCACGGGTATGGCTGCCTCGCCGACATCGGCGACCAGACGGACTCCACCGTCTGACGCGCGGCGCCCCGGCTTGAGCGCGCGGGACGGGCCTGCCCATTTTGGGCCGCCCCGCGCGCGCACGCCGCGGCCGCGCTCGGAGACAGCTCGCTAGCGCGCGAGCGGGAGAATGCTTCTTCTATTCTCTGTGAGCAAGCTCCTGCTGTCTCCGCAGCTTCTCTGCCCCCCTCCCTCCTCTCCCACTCTAAGGCTGACGGGCGCTGCCTCGCCGACATCGGCGACCAGACGGACTCCACCGTCTGACGCGCGGCGCCCCGGCTTGAGCGCGCGGGACGGGCCTGCCCATTTTGGGGCCGCCCCGCGCGCGCACGCCGCGGCCGCGCTCGGAGACAGCTCGCTAGCGCGCGAGCGGGAGAATCCTTCTCCTCCTCCTCCTCCTCCTCCTCCTCCTCCTCCTCATCATCATCATCATCATCATCATCATCATCCTCTTTCTCCCTCCTCCTCCTCCTCCTTCTCGTCGTCGTCCTCCTCCTCCTCCTCCTCCTCCTCCTCCTCTCCCTCCCTTCTCCTACTCCTCTACTCCTTCTCCTCCTCCTCTTCCTCCTCCTCCTCTTCCTCCTTCCCTTCCCCCTCCTCCCCCTCCTCCTCCTCCTCCTCCTCCCCCTCCTCCTTCTCCTCCTCTTCCTCCCCAGAACAGACCCCCACCGTCCTGAGCGAACCAAGGCGGCCGCAATTACTTTTCTGACTCTAGGCCTCCAGAGGCCCAGGTAAAGCCCTGGGACCACCTCACGTTTGTGGCCAGAGAGGTCCCGACGGCTTCCCGGGGTGCACAGTTAACCCGCATAGGAAGGATGGGCAAGGAGGAGGAGGAGGAGGAGGAGGAGGAGGAGGAAAGGGAGGAGTAGGTGGGATGAGGAGGAGGACGAGGAGGAGGGGGAGGAGGAGGGGGAGGAGGAGGAGGAGGAGGAGGAGGAGGAGGAGGAGGAGGAGGAGGATGGGCAACCTTCCTAAGGGTACCCTTGCCTCCTCGGCCCATCCTTCGCCGCTTTCGCTGGCTGCGCCCCGCTCGAAAGGCTTCGAGATGGGCGTCCAGGGCTCTTGCATCCTTATCGCGCGTCCTTACTATTCTGATCGACTGTAGTTCGTGCGTCCCGGATCCACATCCCGTGGTCCGTAAGGGCCCGATGGCGCTTCCCAGAGGCCGAAGTCGAGAAACAAGATACGCATGCCAGGCTGAAGGCGCGTATCGCCGGAAGTCTGGGTTGATTGTCGCCCCGTTGACGGGCAAGCAGCAGGTGGCTTGCGGGCAGCTGCTGATGGCCCTCGTCTTCGACGAGAGCGCCTGCGCGGCCCGCGACGCCGCGCTCGCGGCCACCGTCGCCGCGGCGCACTCGTGCTTCGGGGGCGCGCTGGCCGCGCTGGACGAGAGGCTGTCAGCCACGCGCAGAGGGAAGCAGGGGGAGGGGCGAAGGTCTCCGACAAGCCCCCCTTGCTTCTTGGAAGGCACGGGCCTGCTCTGTAGCTGCACGGCCAGCGCCTTCTGAGAAGCAGCCTGTTTCTGGGAAGCCTTCCCCCCCTCCCCCCCCCTCCTCCTCCTCGTCCTCCTCCTCCTCCTCGTCGTCCTCCTCCTCCTCCTCCTCCTCCTCCTCCTCCTCCTCCTGCTGGCCTGCTGTGCGCAAGTTTGTCCTTTCGCCGCAGTCTAGTGCAGTCACGATCATCTGTGCTCAGGAGTGTAAGCTTGCCGAAGGAGATAGCATTGTGCGTCAGATACAATGGTGCTCGGCCCAGGGGTGGCTGGCTTACATCACGCCTGCAGCCACGAGTGAGAATAATGAGTTGGTTTCGGGAGTTGCGATTTTGATTCGGGATGGTTTGGACCTGGGGGTCCAGCCAATCACTTTTTCTGCCGCTTTCGACCCCGCTCGATTATCGGGGGTTTTGCTCGAACTTCCTGGGGTCCCGAAGTTCGCCATATGTTGTACCTACTTTCAGGCTGCTGCTGGTCTCTCCGAGACCAATTTAAAACTGCTGGCCGCCATAGGCCAACTTCAGGATGATTTGACCCATCCAGTTTTGGTTGCAGGGGATTTTAACCTAGCCCCCGCTAGGTTGGCCCAAGCGGAGTTTCTGTCCAGGTCCACGATGACCCTGCTTGTGCCGCCGACCGCCACCTACCGACACAAGAAGACCAAATCCACGCTAGATTATTTCCTGTCTAGCCAAGGCCTCTCGCCGTGGCTCAGTAACCCCCGTACTCTTTCCTCGTATCCTCTCTCCCCTCACAGACCTGTGCTGTTAGATATTGTAGTTGAGAACAACTTTAATATCCCCACGCTGCATAGGCCCCAGAAGCTACCCACACGTATCCCTGTGGGCCCGCAATTGCCAGAAGTGAGTTGGCACCGGTCAGCTGCTGCATTGGAGTACGCTTCGCTATTGATCGATGATGCTCAACGGCCGCTCAGCGATCAACAGCAGTCGGTGCTCCTGGACCACGTGTATTTCAGCTTGGCCCAGGACTTGGAAGCTACAGTCAGTAAGAAAACTAACACCCCCCTCAAGCCTAGCAAGTACCCCAGGGCCCACCCCCCTCAGGTTCTTATGGTCCCCGCTGAGGCCAAGGCTGCTAGGAGTAGGGCCAAATGGGTGGCCTACACGGGCCCGTTGAGATGGCTCATCAATAGGATTCAAGATTTCCATAGATGTGTTCAGGACTGGAATCTCACTGAGTTTCAGGACGCTCTCGACAGCTTAGAGGATTGCCCTGAGCTGTTCACCACCGTCGTGTCCCTCAAGGAGGGGCTGCAAGAGATTAGAGTTGCTGCAGGTCTGTTGCACGTTGATTTCAGCGCTGGTGCCCTGAACCAGGCGCTGGCGATCCAGGTTCTGGACGAGCTGCTAGAGCACGTCACCAAGCTCCTGCATCAGGAGCAGGCGGCAGAGAACGCTGCAGACGGGAAGGCATGGAGGGATTGGGTTCAGGACAACATGAAGGGAGGAATGGGATGGGCTCACAGATGGACCAAGCGTTTGGAGGCCTGGAGGCCCTCGTCAGTTCCATTTAAGTCGCAGTACTCTGGCAGGCCCCAGCATATATTGCAGGCTGAAGCAGATCGTCCGGCTAAAATATGGCAGGTTTCCCAGGATGCCCCACCTCAGCTCGTTCCTGACAGAGAAGATCGAATTGCCCTGGGCCCCATCAGCCCCAAGAGACTTCGACAGGTTGCGAAAAGTTTTCCCCATCCCATGCCACTGCCACTACCTGGGACGGTTTCCACCCTAGGCATTTCAGTATGTTGAGTAACGAACAGGCAGAGATTGTCTGCGATTTTATTGGCCTGCTGGAAAAGATTGGACATATGCCAACCCAGCTCCAAGGCATCGTAGCGACTCTGATGATGAAGTTGAAACAGCATGATGCCCCAGCCAGCCAGCCCTCTTTCAGGTCCATTGGCATGCTCCCAGCTTTGTACAGAGTCTGGGCTAGGCTCAGGAGGTCAGCGGCCAGAGAGTGGGAGGAACACCACCGCAGGCCGTATCTTGCTCATCAGGCTGGTCACTCCATAGTGGAATTAGTATACAAACAATCCTTGGAATGCGAGTTCAACAGCTCTGACAAAGATCAACAATATAGCGCCCAAGTTCTCTACGATTTATCTAACTACTACGAACATGTTGATCGGCCTTGTCTTGCTTATCGTGCTGTTGAATCAGGTTTTCCGTGTTGTTTATTGCGTACCATACTATCTCAATATGCCAGTGAACGCATAGTTGCACTACAAGATTGTGCAGTCAGTGTAGGCAAGCCTTGGAGGGGCATAGCCGCAGGATGCAGTTGGGCCACCTATCTTGTGCAAATGTATGTGCTCGCCCCGCTCGACGTGTGGACGCAGGCGCATTGTCATATCAGGCTCGCGATGTTTATAGATGATCTGCTGCTCCAGTGCCACGGCCGCAGTTACAGGCTCATCGTCAGCCAGCTCAATATTGCTGCCAGGTCCATGGCAGACTGCATCATCAATGAGTTTAAGTGCCAGATCGCCAGCAAGAAAAGTCAGGTCCTGGCGTCCCAGCAAGCCCTTCAGGATCAACTCAGGACGGCCCTCGGGCCTCTGGCGGGCCCGAACTCGGATAGGTCTGGACCTAACCTGGGTTGTGAAACTGGGGCTGGACGGCCCCAACGACGTTGGAGAAAGCAGCGTAAGATTTCGGAGCGTCTTGATAAGATGCGTAAAAGACTTAACAGGGTTCGCATGCTCAAGAGAGCAGGGGGTAACACTCATAAGTTGTATAGGACTGGCCTCGAGGCGGCCACCACGTTCGGAGTCGAGGTGACTGGCATCAATGGCACGCAGTTGGAATCAGCTATGTCGCAGTTTTTGGCTGCTGCGGGACCCCGTTGCCCGACGCGCAGCCGCAGTTTGGCTCTGCTCATCCTCAAGGACCCCTTGTGGAAAGCGGCCCTGGGCCCCGCCATCATGTGGCATCGCCTTGTTTGGGACGCCGCCACCCGCCCCCGCCTCGCCGTGACCAGCCTCCAGCAGTTACGTGTTTGGGCTGAGGCCATCCTCCCGAGAGTTGTCAAATCTTGGGGCTCCCCCAGGGGCCCCCTCAGCGCTGCGGTGCTTTCGCTTAAAAGGATCGGTTGGAAATTCCAGGGACCATTTACTTTTGTGACCTCCTCAGGCATTGAGTACCCTCTCCCAGGACATTCCCCCGCCCTCCTCCAAAAGCTCATGGAGTTCGACTGGCACGGCCAGCTCGCTTCCAAGGCGGCCGAGAAGATCGGCCACCCGAACGCCCAGTTAGATGTGGTTGCTGCCCGTGCTGCTCTGTCATCGCCAGACCTCCTTGGCCACCAGAAGGGAACCCTCCTCGCCTTCCTCACCCAGAGTATATGGACTATGGACAGAGCCAAGGCAGCAGGATATGAAGTCGAGACTGGCTGCGAGTGCGGCCACCATTCGGACAACCTCGGCCACCGCATACTCTACTGCCCGAAGACAGAGAATCTCAGAACCACTCACTTCTCGGCAGCGGAGCTTCAGAATTTAAGAGAGCCTCCTCCCCAGACCCTGCCCCAGTATCTCGGTTTCCAGCTGGTGCCCGAGTATCGTGGAGAGAATCCTCCTGGTTCGGGCCTGGAGTTTGGGGAGTTTTGGTGTGCTCAGGAGGGGATCACCCCGCAGGAGGCTTTCAGCGAAGGGGAGGTGTATGTAGATGGTAGTTGCACTAACCACGGTCACTATGTTTTCAACGCCGCAGGTTTCGCGGTTGTCTGTATGCGTAACGGTGAAGCCTTTGCCCATTTCAGTGGCCGAGTCGGCCAGATGTTTTTACGAACCTCAGGTGCCGCGGAGCATTTGGCCGCTGTTGCGGCCAGTATTCTTTCTAGGGATGTGGAAGTCATTTACTCTGATTATAAAGGAGTTTTGTCCCTGCACCAAGGGTCTGAGTACCCTCGGCACAACGTGTGGGCTGGGTGTAAGGTCCTGGCTGGCAGGAGCCAGTTCCCCCTCGGCCAACGCCTGCGCAAGGTCAAGGCCCACCAAGACTTGCAGGCCCTCTCAGAAGGCAGTGAAGAGAGAAGGTTGGCCGAAGGTAATAGCACTGCTGACCGCATTGCCAAGGCAGCCGCTTTTAAAGGAATGCAGCCCAGTGAAGCAGAGAAAAGTGATTTCACTGACACTCGGAAGTTTATCGTGCGATATTTGAAGTATGTTGCGCAGGCTCTGGGAGAGTGGCCCGCGATCGCCCCCCACCGCAACAAAGTTTTGGCCGCCCCAGAGAAGAGTTTTTCTCCCCCCACGGGTGCCGCCTCTGCCCTTTCGTCGTGGACGCCGCCGTCGTCGGTCGAGCCTCCCCCCCCTCCGCCTCCGCCAGTACCCCAAGAGGAGCCCAGAGAGCCCTTCAGGTACCACACATGGACTCTCATTCACCAGTATCACAGGTGCATACTGTGCAGAGTGCAGACCAAGTCTTTCAAACAGCGGGGAGTCTTACAGGCCCAGCATTGCCCAGGCCACTGTAAGCAGCTCTCCGATCTTGTGCATGATAATAAAGGCCACGATTTGTTTTACTACGAGCACCTTGATCACCCGACGAGTATCTTGGTTTGCCATAAGTGTGGATCCTTCTCTGAAGGGTTGGGTCGAGGGCTCGCTAGTGCGTGCAGCAGTAGAGTGAGCCACCAAGGAGCGGCCACTCAGCTAGCCCGAGTCCAGGAGGGTCGAGATCCCAAGGGCACAAAGTCGTCCCCGATCGTTTTTAAGACCCCCGCTATTCCCCTGGCCCAGTTGGTGCGCGAGGAGCGTGCCAAGACCCAGGGAGAGGAGGCACTAAGCCCTCCATAGTCGGCCGCGCTCTCTCGCGGCGGACATCGATCACCCCCAAGCCATGTGCGTGTCCTCCTCCTCCTCCTCCTCCTCCTCCTCCTCCCCCTCCTCCTCCTCCTCCTCCTCCTCCTCCTCCTCCTCCTCCTCCTCCTCCTCCTCCTCCTCCTCCTCCTCCTCCTCCTCCTCCTCTCCCCCCTTTGCCCCCCCTGAGCGCGCCGCCAAGGCTGGTGCGCCAGCTGCAGGTGGCCGAGCTGGCCTGCCGGCTCGAGCGGCCGGGAGCGTGGAGCCGCCTGGAGGAGCTCGTAGAGCGTCGAAGACTCTGAGATTTAGGTCGGGCCTGTCTCCATACAGGGGGATTTTGGACGAAAAGTATCAAAAGATATTCAAAGGATGCCCAAAAACACTCAAACAATAGTCCCCAGAGTATGTATTAACTATTTTTGAATATTCCCCCTGTAGGGGGACATGCCCGACTTAAGGCTGAGATTCCAGGCCCTCTAAAAGATTGGTGAGAAGATCGCGAGGCGAGGGTCAGTGTTCGGGTATCCTCGGCCTCCGGGGGCCTTCGCCGGGCCCCAGGGCCGTGAAGGAACGGCTCGGTGCGAGGAGGCGATCCCAGGGAAGGGGTCGAGACCTCTGGGGGTCGACGTTGTGAGCAAAAGCATGACGTAGGGGGTCCGAGGATGCAGGCGTTCCAGTTTTTCCTCACCAAGCGTTTTCGCACGGTTTCGGCCCCCAGGACCATGCCAGATAGATCCGGCTCGAAAAGTGTTGCAGAATGATTGGGTCCAGGGCCGGGTCGTGAGGTCAAGATGATGTCATTTTGTCGCAACGCTGGATCTCAGGGGGGAGGGCGAGAACTATGTGTGTGTGTTGTGTGTGTGCGCGTGTCAACACATCCGCTGGTCCCCACCCGTCCGCGCACATGTCGATAGTAAGACTCGAGTTCGCCAGAACTCGGGTTTGCCGACGCTGTTTGACGGGCCCGTCATGAGTTTTGACGGCCCAGTTGCGTCACACTGCAGACCGGGTCTCGTCATTTTCTTGGCGGCCTCGTCAGGCCACCCCGAGTCCCTCAAACCCGAGCTGTCGTCTCCCCGAGAGAGTTGAGGTGGAAGTCGAACACGGGGTGATGGAGGAGGAGGGGCAGGGAGAGGAGGACGTGGAGGATCTCGAGCGGGAGAACCAGGGAGGAGGAGGAGGAGGAGGAGGAGGAGGAGGAGGAGGAGGAGGAGGAGGAGAGGATGAGCAGCAGGAGGCAGGAGGGACGAGGGGGGGGGAAGGGGGGGACGGATGGCAGGGGTGGCGGGATTGGGGCACGGGGATCGTCCCCGCCTCCCCGAGCCCGAGCCCCCTCGCCTCCCCGGGCCTTCCCTCAGCGCGGCCGCCGTGCCCCCCACGGAGCCCCACGGAGGCCCCGCGCGTGCCTCGGGCCACGGTGCGCCCCCCCCCCCCCGCCCTCTTCCTCTGCTCGGCATCGCTCGGGTGTGTGGCGTTTTGATCCTCGGCGAGGACCGTCGGGGAGCATCCTGGATCATCGCGGGGAAACACACAAAAAGAGGACGAAGCGGAGCCGCGCCCGAGGAATGGACGTCCGGGCGACGGGCAAGGAAGTTCCAGCCCCGAGAGGATATCCGATCCGAGGTTTCTGAGAATCGTCTTGGATCATCTTGCGATAAACGCACCAAGCAGAACTACGCACTGTGAATGGACGTCCGAGAGATGGGTAAGTTCCGGCCCCGAGGAGATGTTCGATCCGAGGGATTTGTTGCTCCAGATCCTGCATTGTTGATGGATTTTGGTTGGATATCCGAGCGCCGTGCCGATACATGCGTGTGGGACAGGAGGCCCCAGGATATGGGAAATGCCGACCCTTCGGATCGGATATCTTTGATGGGCCCATTTCCCATCACTGCTACCATAGGTAGGACGCGGGGCAAGGAGGATGCGATGTCTTCCTGCTCCTCCCCCTCCTCCTCATCCTCCTCCTCGTTCCTCCGCCTCCGAGTCGCAGTCCACGTGGGGGCAAGGTGACTGGAGGGGAAGGAAGTCGTGCTCCGAGCGTTTGGCACAACGGCCGACGATCGCCCACGTGTGCAGCTGCTAGGTCGTCAAGCGATCCAACGTGCATCCGCATAATCGGACTCAGATTTCAGTGAGTCCGACCAGGAGGGTTTCGAGCAAGCCAAGTTTTGGACGCCTTTCGGGCCAACACAAGCCGCTCCTCCTCCTCCTCCTCCTTCTCCTCCTCCTCCTCCTCCTTCCTCCTCCCTCCTCCCTCCTCCCTCTCCTCCTCCTCCTCCTCCTCCTCCTCCTCCTCCTCCCTCCTCCCACCTACCCCTCCTCCTCCTCCCTCCTCCTCCTCCCACCTCCTCCTCCTCCTCCTCTCCTCACTCCTCCTCCTCCCTCCTCCTCCTCCCTCCTCCTCCTCCTCCTCCTCCTCCTCTCCTCCTCCTCCTCCTCCTCCTCCTCCTCCTCCCTCCTCCCTCCTCCTCCTCCTCCGCCTCCTCCTCCTCCTCCTCTCCTCCTCCTCCTCCTCCTCCTCCTCCTCCTCCTCCTCCTCCTCCTCCTCCTCCGCCTCCTCCTCCTCCTCCTCCTCCTCCTCCCTCTTCCAGCGCCATCTTGGCTCACGCGCGCTCGCTACTGGCCCCGCCGCCGACGCGCCGACGCCTGGTACGGCGATGGTTGCCCGCGCGGCACCGCTCCTCGCGGTCCACGCCGCCGCTGGGCTGGCGGCCCGCGCCCCCGCAGGCGGCCGCGACGCGGTGCGCCTGCTGCGCGCTGCTGGGGGCCTCCTCTGCACGGTCGTGGCCGTGCTGGCGGCGCCGCCGCTTGCCCCCGCCCCGCCTGCGGAGGCGGCCGCGCCACCCGCCGCCCCGCGGCGGCGGCGCCGCCCACGCGGACGAGGCCGAGGAGTTGTTGCGGACATGGCGCCGTGCGACATGGAGCTGGTCGGCGACGACGGGGGCGGAGCGGCGGAGGATGCCGCGCGGGGCGCTGCGGCCGACGTCCAGCCGATGCTGGAGGATGACGCTTGGGCCGACGACCTGCCCGTGGTGAGGCAGCCTCGAGGCCCGCCTGCCAGCACAGGCTCGCGCGGAAGTAAAGGCAAGGGCACGGGCAAGGGCGGCGAGTTCGGCGACAAGAACAAGTTTGTCCACCCCAAGGTGCGGCAGCTGAGGGAGCTCGTCATCCGCCTGGGGGAGCGCGCGGGTCTGCCCCGACCCGCATCCGAGGTGCCTTTCGACCACTGCGTGTTGGTCGCAATGGCCGCCGAGCTCGAGGAGCTGGCGGCCGCGTCCGACGGCTCGCGCGGCGGGGGCAGAGGAGCGGACGGTCGCCGTCGAGCGCGTGGTGGCCCACGTGGCGCTGGCGGGAGGCGCAGCGGGGGGGGGGGTAGGGGCCTTGCCACTACGTGCGCAAGGCCCTCGCCCCCCCCACCCCGCTGGCATCGCGGTGCTCGTCGGCGTCCTTGCGCCCGGCGGCCCGCAGTGCCAGGCGTGCCCTACGGTCGGGGCCTCGCCCGTGGGGCGGGCCCCCGCGGTGAGCCGTCGACTGTTTCCAGTTCGCGGTCGGGGGGTTTGGCTCCTCAGGTGGAGACCAGGCCCCCCGCGGCGGGCGAATCGGCGCCGATGCGTCCACGGTTCGGGGATCCTCCTCCTTCCTCCTTCTCCCCTCCTCCTCCTCCTCCTCTTCCTCCTCCTCCTCCTCCTCCTCCTCCTCCTCCTCCTCCCTCCTCCTCCCTTTCGTGGCCGCCCCTGGACATCTCGGAGGTAGAATACGTTAAACCTGATCATATGTCCTGGGGCCTGGAGAGGCCAGCCACGACTGGATCTGGGCCTCCACGTTTTGGCAGCGCGCGGCTTGTTTGAGAGGTAAGAGGGGCGAAGCACGACTGCCCCCAGACAGATGCGTCAAGCCACCTTTCTTGCATCCAGAGCTATGCTAGCCGCTAACAACCACCAACGCGCTCTCCTCGACTGCACCGATAGTTCCTTTTTGCACGTTTGCCTGGCACGTCACCACTACAGCGCGGGTGGCTGGCTCGTTCATATCGCTTCTCCCTTGCTCCCCTGGACAGGGGGGGAGCTGGCCGCGCAACCTGGAAATCTGTTTGTGTGGGGCGTCATCCTCAGGAGAAGAAGAGGCTGAAGAACGTTCAGTTTCCCCCTTCGCCCTGGACGGTGGATTCGCCATCGCACGGATGGGGCGGGCGAATGGGAGCGCGGGGGGGAAGGGAACTGTTCTCGCAGCCGGCCGAAGGCGTTTCTCAGGCCGCTGCCCCAGGCTCCTCCCTGAGAGAGAGAGAGGGAGAGAGAGAGAGAGAGAGAAAAAAAAAAGAGAAAGAGAGAGAGAGAGAGAAAGACAGAAAGAGAGAGAGAGAGAGAGAGAAATCAACAAACAACATAGTGGTAGAGAGAGGGAGAGAGAACAAACAGAGAAAGAGAGAGAGAGAAAGAGAGAGAGAGAGAGAGAGACAGAGTCAGACCCTCAGGGAGACCCTCAGGGCGATCGAGGCTATCAGGAAGGAGGAAGATGAGCAGCCCCCCGTGCGACCTCTGGTAGTGGCGGGTGCCAACCGGCCCAGCAATCTCGCCTGTGACCCGTGCCTGGCCCGGCTCCCCCGCCCGCGCGCCCCGAGGAGCAGCACCTCACGCCCTTCCTCGAGGGCATAGCGCGGCTGGGGCACGAGGTTCGCAGAAGGAACACATGCCATGCATCGGAGGAGGAAGAGCTGCCCATGCCGCTACCATCGCCCGAAGAAGAACGCACTGATACACATGAGTTTTCGGCGGTCCACGCCGATGTCTTGGATCTCCTGTTTGCCCCCCTGGCGGCGCCTTTGGCCCCCCGTTCCATGGCGCGCTCCGCGCGCCAGGGAGGTGGGTTCGTTGCACATCCGAGAAAACCCGCGCAAACCGTCGGTCATGTTTATGCCTTTTTCATTATTCCTCTACTCGTTCCGCTCCTTCCTCTTGGGGTTTCCTGGGAGGCCCTCGTCGCCACCGCTGGATTCGCCTCGATATTTTTGATGCTTCGCGTGTCCCCACCAGCCAGCCTCGGTCAGACCGCCCTCTGGACTTCTCCTTGCGGGCCGCAAATAAAAAACACGTGTCCCCACCAGCCCCTGCTAGCCCGGCGTTCGACACGTATCGCGTGCCCGCGCACCAAAACCCCACCAGCCCATCCAGACACGATTGGAGGTTTTCTGGAGGCCACCTGGAGGCTATCGTGAGCCAAGGTCGGCTAGAGGCTATCGGCGGCTATCCTGAGCCATGCTGAGCAATATTGGACCGTCTTGTGGCTGTCTTGAGACCTCTTTGGAGGTCTGCCGGAGGCTCTCTTGAACCATGCTCAACATTCTGGGATCATCGGAATAAGAGGAGGAGGAGCAGGAGGAGGAGGAGGGGGAGGACACAGGGAGAAAGACGAGGAGGGGGAAGAAGAGGAGAAGGAGGAGGAGGAGGAGGAGGAGGAGGAGAAGGAATGCGGCACGAGGAAGATGAGGAGAAGGCAGGAAAGGAGGAGGGAAGGAACGGACGATGCCAAGGAGGATGAGAAGTCGGGTTTGGGAGGCATGTTGTTGTGAGAGATTCTTGAATGACGACGATGGTCATCTTAGGGGCTGTTTTAGGGCCCCCGATTCTTGGGAGGACTTCGTCGCCACCGCTGGATCCGCCTCGAAATTCTGGTCAGAACGCATCCCCGCGAGAGGTCCAAAAGAGTAGCGGTATCGGTACCTCTTCTTATGTTCCACCCTACTTTAGCTTTTACCACCAGAAACAGTTTCGAGCATCAAGAGAGTACCGAAACTGGAAGGTGTTCACGCGTCGGGCCCTGGGAGGCGAGACTCGCTCGACACTGTCTCGACACTTTTCCTGGGCGCTCGACATTAGTTCTGGGAGGTGGCGCTTAAAGTACGAGAGGAATCACGTAAACCTCCCTTTGCTTCCCCCAAGGAAGGAAGCGGATCCTGAGGGAAAAGCTCGTTCGACACTGTGCCGACACTCTTCTGGGCGTTCGAACTAATTTCTGGGAGGTGGCCCTCCAGTACGAGGGGAGCAGCATGAACCTCCTCGTGGGTTCCCCCAAGGAAGGAAGCGGATCCCGAGGGAAAAGCAGGCGTTTTGTTTCCGGGCGCCCAGGGGGGCCCTTCCTGGGCCCCTTGGGGGCCGTCAGAGCCGGCCGGAGGAAGGCCCCCCAGAGGGTCCAGGGCCCGCTTCCTTCGGGGGCGGGGTGAGGGCCAGGGGGGGGGATAGCATGGCGGGGGCCATGAGATCTCCCCAGCTTTCCTGGCGCCGGTTCTTATTTCAGTACGTCCCGGCCCCCCCCGCCTGGGCCGCGCACATGCCGCTGGCCATGATTTGGCCCCCCCTCCTGGACGTTTAACCAATCCCCATCCTCATCCCTATCCCGCTCGAGGCCCCCACCAGATTACCACCCCAGTTGGGGATACGCTCCTCGAGACCCGAAAAGGGAGCGACCTACATCCCCATCCAGGGGAGTAAGTCGGCCAGTGGAGCCCAGGCCACGCCGCTGGGGATGGGGAGCGGTCAAACGATACTCAAGTACTTGTCTGTATGTCCATGCTCAGAAAATCGGCACAAGCAGAGGCTCGTGGATGTCCGCGCGGGTTTCTCGGGTCGGCGCTGGGCCCCACTGGCGGAGCCTGCAGCGCCGCCCCTGGCGCGCTCCGCCACGGAGGGGGCATCCGGCGCCGACCGACGAGATCCTTGCGGACCTCCAGAAGCTTACGGTCGAATTCGAGCAGTAGGTCGACATTACCAAGTCAATGGTACCCATGCCATGTGTCCTGTGTATGGCGTCGCATGTCTGCTACATTCCAGGGGCAAGGGTACCCTGGGCTAGGGGCCATGTTGCCCTCGCACGAGTCCTGTGTTCTCTCGCACGTCCTCTCCAGTCGATTTCGACCGTGTGCTCAGTCCGTTTCTGTTGATCCTCCAGAGGTGGCGCCGCTCAGCAAGTGCTCCTCGCAGCAGCACCTGCAGGTCTCCGGGGCGCTCGAGGACCTTGGCGTCAGGCACCGCATGGAGGAGCGCCTGCTGCCGTACGTCGCCGACGTCCGCCTCCTCGCCGCGGGGCCCCCCGAGGCCCCAGGGCTCCTGATCGAGATAGATGGGCCGCTGCACTTTCTCGGCTCGTCGGCGCGCTACGACATTGGAGGGACGACAAGACGGCACAAGCACACGGTCAACCCGCACAGGAAGGATGAGCGACTTTCCAAGGTTGCCCTTGCATCCTTTCCCTTCGGCCCATCCTTGGCCGCTTTCGCTGGCCGCGCCCCGCTCGCAAAGTCTCGACATGGCCTTCCAAGGCCCTTGCACCCTCGCATCCTGTTCGTGCGTCTATACGGGTTGACTATAAACTTTTGGAGGTCCGCGCGGGTTTCTCGGATCTGCGTTGGGCCCCCCCGTGGCGGCGCCTCCGGCGCCGCCCCTGGCGCGCGGAGCGCGCCAGGGAGGGGGAATTTGCGACGATCCGAGAGAACCCGCGCGGCCCTCCAGAAGATTGTGCTTGTGCCGCTGTCTGATCCTCTAGACATGAAGAGTTCCCTCAAGCACCGTCTGCTCACGAAGCAGGGTTGGCATGTCCACCACATCGCATGGAACGACTGGCCGGCCCAGCACCACAGCCGCCTCAACTACATCGCGCGGCTCCTGCGCTCGCCCGCTCCACGTGGCAGCCTCCTGGAGTACCAGCCGCTGCTAAGGCATTCCGAGGCCAGCATTTCTGTCTCTTCTCTGACGCTGCATCTTCAGGGGGCCTCGTCTGTCCTGTACTTTGCGGCCTGTGCTGACATGCTCCGCTGCATGGTTCGGCGCGGATGCGACGCGGATTCGAAGAGGATATCGACGGGACAGGATAATATGTTTTCTCGGGATTCGCTGGAGGACGGCTGGGCCAGAGTGGCCCAGCAGCGTTTCCCGCCCCAGCTTCTGATTGCGCTATCCCGTGGCGTCCGTGTACCGGCCCCCCTACCAGCCCTCCCAGAGCCCGGTTCGATCCGATCCGATCGATTCGATTCGGTTCCGGTCCAGCGATGTGGCCCAAGGATTTCATTCTTCTGCTGCGGCCCCTGGCGCAGCCGATGCGACTGAATTCCGACTTTGTGCTGATGTGAGACGGTCCGACGCACATGCCGATTCGAACCGAGTTTCCGAGTCGATGTTGATTGATCTTGCTCGCCCTTGTCTCCCCTCGGCGGCGTGCCCTGGGGGGGAGTGAGAAGGAGCAGGCCTTCTCTGTGCAGAAGGCCGGTCCCCCCGGGGCCTCTTGAGCAGGCCCGCACCTCCTCGCTTCCCCCCTGGGCTCACAGCCGATCCCCACCGCAGCGACGCAACAAAACGGGGTCGTTTTCGCCGACATTCGCGCGCAAGCTGCCCGCGTGAGGTCGCGCGTGAGCGCCCTCGGCTTCAATGTAGCATGCCGTGCTGGCGGCCTTCGTACGCCGGCGGCGACCCCGCCAGCGGCGTTCAACGTTGAACGCCGCGGGCGACCCAGAATCGTTCGATGTAGAACGATTTGGACGTTTCGGAAACGGCCGATCGTTCAAGGTTGAACGATCCCCGAGGTGTCAGAAACCAACGCCGCAGTCGGCACGACACGAACCTGACGTACCCCCACCGTTCAGAGGAGGAAGAGGTGTCCATACCGCTGCCCTTCCCTCGTTTTCCGGGAGGGCCTCTTGGGAGGCCCTCGTCGCCACCGCTGGATTCGCCTCGAAATTCTGGTCAGAGCGCACCCCCGCGAGAGGTCCGGGGATTAGCGGTATCGGTACCTTTTGGTTACCCCCACCGTGCCAGGGTCCACTGCGATCCGATCGGCACGGCTCGATGCCGATTCCAGCTGGCCCGATCCGAGTCGATTTCGGTATTCCGACGGTCCGATGCGGCCCGATGCCTGCATGGCGCTGTTGTGCATCCTGGCGCAGCCGATCCAATGCACATGCTCGCGGGAGGTTTGCAACGGGAGATCGCGTCAAAGTTCATATCGAGTCTCGTCGTCTACTTGGAGGCCCCGTCAGGACAGCCCAAGTCCCGCAAACTCCCCGAGAGAGTTGAGGTGGCGGTCGGACACGAGGTGGAGGAGGGAGGGGGCAGGGAGAGGAGGAAGTGGAGGGTCTCGAGCAGGAGAGGACCAGGAAGGAGGCGGTGAGAGAAGGAGCAGCAGCAGCAGAAAGGAAAGGCGAGAATTGGTAGATGATAGGAATGGCGGATGAGGTCAGAGATTGGTGGGTGAGTTCGAAGTGAAACGGAGACCCTCCACAGGGAAATCGTTTTCGTTTTCGTGTTCGTGTCGCGCGTGCTGGAGAGGCGAAGCTGCGTGGGCGGGCGAGAGGACTGAACCCGCCGTCGCTATGGCGAAACTGAGTCCATCGATTCTACCCCCCCAGTTGGCCGGCGGTGGCCTGGGGGTGTCCCGCCGATGTCCCGTCGTTGCTGGGGCGAAACTAAGTTCAATGGCCCGCGTTGGCCCGGGGGTGTCCCGCTGGTGTTCCTTGGTGTCCCGTGGTGTCTATGGGCGCGGTGTCCCGTGATGTTTCTGAGGTCCATTGCGAGATCGATAGTGCGATCGATATGTTCACCAATCGGTAGCGAGATCCACTGTCAGATCGATAGGCTGTGAGATCGATAGATACAGGTAGACCGGTACTTTCTATAAGTGTTTCGGTTTGACTCCCTCCTTTGACACAAAGTGCTGAATAGGATTGGGCCTAGAACCTCTTCCTCCTCCCCTCGCTCCCCCTCCTCCATCTCCTCCTCATCCGGCTCCTCCTTAGGACTGGCACGAGGAGGCATGAGTATTGTGAGTATGGGTATCGGATGTGGATAGACCTCCTACCCTGACACGTCGATTAAGCAATTGGCCGTTTTCGGTTCGCGAGGGGGCGTCGCGGTTGTGATTTTTGCGGGTCCATGTCCGTCGGTTTCGGTCCCAGGCCGTTTTCACTTGAGAGAGGTTTACAAAAGGGAGGTTTGTCCACCGCCGAGGGTATCTGTATCATTATTTCGCTTGTTTTCACCATGAAAATGATTATCTCCCGTATGATCAATATTACGATTGCTATGGTTTTCCATGTTACTCTTTCATACTATTACTAAAAGGCTTGCGATTGCTCCTAAGTAGAGGGAGGAGTGAAGGAGGAGGGGTAAGGAGGTTACGACTACTATTACTATTACTACTACTTTTATTACTACGACTACTACTACTACTACTACTACTACTACTACTACTACTACTACTACTACTACTGCTCCTACTACTGCTACTATTATTACTACTACTATTACTACTAGTACTACTACTACTACTACTACTACTACTACTACTACTATTTACTACTAATGTTTACTACTACGTCTTCTTCTTCTTCTACTACTACTACTACTACTACTATTTAGTACGACTATTACAATTAGTACTATTTCCTCGACTAAGACGCCTACGCCGACTACTGCTACTGATACTATCAATCTTATCACTAGTACTACTATTCCAACTTCGACTATCATTGTTTTGTACTACTACGACCACTACGGTTACTCTTACGACGACTACGACTACAATTGCGACTACGATTACAGTTATCGGTGGTCATGAAACGAGATGGTTGTTATTCATACTACTATTGTTATTACGACTACCCGTCGTATTACGACTTTTACTATTACTACTACCCTCACTACGACTACCACCGCTACGAATATTACTGCGATTGCTATTACTAATACTGCTACTATTACTACTTCTACTACTACTAATACTACTACGACTACTACTACTACTACTACTACTACTACTACGACTATACTACTACTACTACTACTACTACTACTACTACTACTACTACTACTACGACTACTCTTACTAATATTGCGACTACTACTACTACTACTACTACTACTACTACTACTACTACTACTACTACTACTACTACGACTACGACTACGACTACTACTACTACTACTGCTGCTACTACTACTACTACTAATAATAATAATACGACTACTACTACTACTACTACTACTACTACTACTACTACTACTAGTACTACTACTACTACGACTACTAATTACAACAACAACTACTACTACTATTACTGCCACTACTACTACTAGTACAATTTCTACTACGATTACTACTTCAACGACTATTACTACTACTACTACTACTACTACTACTACTACTACTACTACTACTACTACTACTACTATTAAACGTGTGATGGGTTCGCCCCCATGGCGCTGGCCCCCCTCTCTTAGACTTGGACTTGCTGGAGCTGTGTTGGGATGTCTGGACGCTGACGTAAAGCAATGTCGGGATTTCGCGCGCGGGTCGTTATTCAGTTACACTAGTTTATGGTTTCGACGGCGCGAATTCTTTATACTCTTCAATGGTTTATGGCTTCGGGGACGCGTCTATGGAGTAATGTACGAATGTTTGTGGCTTCGGGGATGCAAGCATCGTGTAAGCTACGAGGGTTTATGGCCTCGGGGGCGCAACTGCCGCATACTTTACGACGGTGTGTGGCCTCGGGGACACGAATATTTTATAGATTGCGAGGGTTTGTTCCTTCGTGGATGTAAGTATGGTGTAATTGACGAGGGTGTGGCCTGGGGACGCGAACGTCGTGCACTTCTCACTGGGCTTATGGCTTCGGGGGCGCGGACCTGTAACATTTTATTACGGTTTATGGTTTCGGGTCGCGACTATCTGTAATTTACAAGGGATTATGGTTTCGGGGACGCGAGCATTATGTGATTTACAGGGAGGTATGGTTCCGGGGGCGCGAATGCTGCGTAATTCGCAGAAAGGTTTATGACCTGGGGGACGCGACTATGATGTCATTTGTTGGGGATTGTGGCTTCGGGGGCGCTGGTATCATATATCTTTATGTGTTCCACGCCCCCCCGGGAATTCAGACAACGCGACTCGGGGGTGCTAGCCAAGACGCCTTTTCGGCCCCCCAGCAGAAGGCAGGATCGCAACACGAGAAATTGGAATTTGCAATGTGTACAGGGAGCTGCAAGCCTAATATTCGCAGCCTCATTGCCCCGCAAAGGGGGTTGGCGCACAGAGACTACGACAACGATTACTATTACGAC